GTGACAAATTAGAGGCTGAAGTAAAGTCATGAATTACACACAGTGACTATGTCTAATTGGTTGTGGGAAGGGAACAGCGGAGGTTGAGGTGAAGTTACCAAGTCGCTCCTTCTTGAAAATAAATGCTAAGCTTGAAACCAGTATAGTTATTTGTGGGAGGGACCCAATGAGTGGTACTCTTCATTTTCTATCTCTGGCAAAGAGGGGAGGTGATTGCAAACATGGTGGCTACTGATTTTTTGTTGCCTGGATGTGGATTGGTGGGGTTTTCCTTAGATTCAGAAACAGGAAATGAAAGCAAATTACTCTAAGATTTTCTGCATCCAGACCCTATTATTTTGCCTTACTGCATTTTTCTGAGAAATGTAATCCATAAATCTATATGAGTGGCAGGGAAATCAATGATCTTTCTTCTGTAATGGCTTACTGCTAATTTAAGATACTGATTGATTTGTAAATTATTACTTGAATGTGTATTTAGCAATTTGCTATCAGATAATACACACAAAATCCCACAAGAGACTCTTTTTCTTTTAGTTATCAACTTTTATACATTTATGTCTCTACAACACTATAAAGATGACAGTTTAGATATTCATAACCTGACACTTATTTCCAGAAATGCTTCTGCCTTTGTTATGACTGCAAGCACCTTAGTGTGTGACTAGAAGTATTTTATTACATGTCTAACTGAAATGCAAATTTGTCTGTTTTTGTCTTATTGTATAATACGTTGTTTTGTATACATGTTAGATATTATTTTCATTTGTGTTTGAGTGTGTGCTCTGTTAATTTTCCTAATATTTTCTGTATTGAAACTTGCATCTTGTGACTTGTCACTTAAAATCTATTGAGGTGGTGTTACTGGAGCACGCTGCTCTCTCTTTTGTTTTTATTTACTTAAATATTTTATATCCTGTGACTTTAATTTGTCTTTGCATCTAAAGTGTGTGTATAGTAAACACCATATATTTAAATGTAGAATATTTATTATCTGTTCTCCCAATCATTTTTTTTAAATTATAGAATGAAAGAAAACTATGTATGCTTAAAATAATTGCAAATAAGTTTATTTCGTCATTTTGCTGCGTGTTTTTACACACTATCATTTCTGACTGTTATTTTCTGTGTTTCCTTGCTACTTTTGTACTAGAGTAATTTAATTTTTTATAATTTTTGTGAATATTTCATATACTATCGGTGAGTATTTATAGGTGCTTGTGCCAAAAATATTATTTAACCAGTTATTATAGGTGATAAAAAGAAATAATGAGCCTGCTATAAAAACCTTACGAATGTAGAATTTATACACAGTTAAAGCTAGCGCATTACAAGGTAACTCTGGTTTTGTTTTAACAAAGAAAGTGATGGCATTTTGCCTCTACCTTAGACATTTACAGGAAACTTTGAACTTCAGAAAGATAATTTAGGGTATCTGGCCGAAGAAATTTCTAAGCAGCATAGCATTTAATTTGCCATCAAATAATACACGTAAAATTCCACACATGACTCCTTTGTTTTGTTTATCGACTTTCATATTTTTATAACTCTATAACACTATAAAGATGACAGTTTAGATTTTCATAATCTGATACTTATTTCCAGAAATGCTTCTGCCTTTGTAATAATTGCAAGCATCTTACTGTTAAAGGCATTTAATTTTGTAATTGGATCAAATGTGAAAAATTCTGCACTGACTATGAAAAAAAATTCAGGAGAGAAATACAACCTGGCTACAGAAAGTTTCATAAATTTCCAGGAGCTGAGTGTTAATTATCAAGATCATGACAAAAATGTCTCCAGACCGTGTCAAAGATCTTCACAACAGCATGTACTGTCACAGGCCCACAATCTCTGAAGAAAAATGGTGGTTTGGTGTACCTGGCCCCGGGTTCCATTCTGTGTGAAAACTAGAGACTTTGTTTTCTTTGTTTTAAGCAACTCCAGCTTTGGCACAATAAGGATATTGTAGAGCTTGGGCTTCGCATCAGAGGGTGGAAGCTCCAAGCCTTAGCGGTTCCATGTGTCATTAAGCCTGTGGCCACACAGATTACATAAACTGAGGTTTGAAAACCTTTGCCTCAATTTCCAAAGATGTATGGAAATCCCTGATGTAAAAGAAAATGTTTTCTGCAGAAGTGAGGCCCTCATGAGAACCTCTTCTAGGGCAGCGTGGGAAGAAAAATGGGTTTGGAGCTAACACACAGTTTCTACTTTAGCATTGCCTAGGGGATCTGTGAAAAGAGGACTACTGTTTTGCAGATTCTAATATGGTAGATCCACAAAAAGCTTGCACTGTGTGCCTGGAGCAGCCACAGGTAAAGAGCTGCCCAACTCTACATGAATTCATCTTTTCATCAGTGTGACTTTGATGTGAGATATGGTCAAAAATGATCATTTTGGAACTTTATAGCTTGATTGCCTGACTGGATTGTGGACTTGCATGTAATACCTATGTGTTGGAAAATTTCATCCACTCAGACCGCTGCTATTTAACCAATACTTATACTCCCATTGTATTTAGGAAGCAACTAGCATAATTTTGATTTGACAGAGTTATAGGTGGGACTTTCCTTGTCTCAGATAAAACCTTAGACTGTGGACTTGGGTTAATACTGAAATGAGGTAAGAATTTTCGGCACAGTGTGAAGGCACAATTGGTGTAAAATATGAGAAACTGAGGTTTAGACGATTTGGGAGCAGAATTATACAATTTTGGTGTGTCCCGACTCAATGACACCTTGAATTGTAGCTCTTAGAATTCACACACATTGTGGAAGAAACACAGAGAAAGTCATTAAATCATGGAGGCCAGATTTTGCCATGCTAGTCTTAGCATAGTGAAGAAGTCTCATAAAATCTGATCGATTTATCAGGGGATCTACCTTTGCTTATCATTTTCTGTTGGCGCCACCATGAAAAAGTGCCTTTCACCAACTGAAGTGATTCTGAGACCTCCACAGCCATGTGGCATATGTTCCACTAAACCTCTTCTTCTTCCCAGTCTCAAGTTTGTCATTATCAGCAGCATAAAAACAGACTAATACAACAAACATATCTGAAAAATACACACCCTCATTCACCACGTTGTGAGCAACAAGACTAGAAGAGAGAAGAGAAAAGCAACAGCATTTCAGGAAACCTAGACTTACAAGATTTCCAATCCAGGGCTTCACACCACTTTTGGATCTTTGCGGTTTGGCATCTTGAAGCTTGCACTGCATTCTCTAGTGCCTGTTGTGGCAGCCAGGGTTGCAGACAGCTGACACCCTTCCCAGCACCTAAAGCTTCTTATCCTGCCACAGCCAATGTGCCCTGCTATGCTCAGTGGCTGAAAGCAACAGTAATACCCACATGTAACACTTTCTGCTCTGTGCCTGATTCACCCATAACAAAAATGAGCTCCAGGTTCATAGGGCAAGCTGAGCCCCTCTGTAAGCCTGAGGGTTTGAAACGAGACCAGATGCCTCAGTAAAATTTGGTCAAAAATAACACTGATTATATAGGTTTATGGCTGATGAGGTAAGCTGCATCTAAGGATTCTGTGACAGAGGTGATAAGGATCAGCAGTAGCCTTTAGATTATTAAATCATGCCTATGTAATAAAGTTTTTGTTTGTCTGTTTGAGATGAAGTCTCCCTTTGTTACCCAGGATGAAGTATTGTGGAGCGATCTCGGCTGACTCTAACCTCCTGTGTTCAAGCAATTCTTGCCTCAGCCTCCTGAGTAGGTGAGATTACAGGTTCGTGTCACCACGCCTGGAAAATTTTTGTGTTTTTAGGAGAGACAAGGTTTCAACGTGTTGGTCACGCAGGTCTAGAACTCCTGACTTTGTGATCCTCCTGCCTCAGTCTCTCAGAGGGCTGAGATTATAGGCATGACACATTGTACCCAGCCCTAATAAAGCTTTTGAAAACCCAAGTGAATGGGCTTCAGGGAGCTTCTGTATAGCAGAATATGTAGAGTGTGTTAAAAATGCTGTGCATACAAAGGTGTACACCAGTAATTAAAAATTAAAAATATATGTAATTAATAAGAAAAACTTTTTGCATATTTTGAAAGAGTGTCTGAATTTAATAGGGTGTTTAGAATTTTAACTTATTAAATAAAACATACTTCAAGTTAACTTTGGAACGACGTTGTAAACATTATTACTTTGACATTTCTACGTAAATGATTTTATGATTCACTAATACTGCCCAACAGACTCCAGTCTAGGAAGCTAGTGGTTTATTTAAGTTACCTAACAGTTAGACAATTAAAAATAAAAGAAAAATTAATTGATATGCCAGCATTACCCTTTAGCATGTTTTACTTGAGGTACTGATTTTCAAATTGTTTTTTTTTTTTGAGAGTGGGTCTCAATCTGTCTGCATGGCTGAAGTGCATGGTGCCACCTCAGTGCACTGCAACGTCCAACTCCCAGTTTCAAGTGATTCTCCTGTTCAGCATCCAGAGTAGCTGGGATTACAGGCACACACCTGTACAATTACAACTTTTTGTAATGGTAATAGAGACATGATTTTAGCATGTTCCCTAGGTTGGTCTCAACTCCTTAGCTCAGAAAATCCAATCACCTCAGCCTCCCCAAATGCTGAGATTACAGGCATGAGCCACTGCACCCAGGTGATTCTTCTCTTAAAAATACTTATCCTGAAATATGTTTTTTGATTCAGAATTTTCTGTCTCTGAAGAGTTTGTGCCTTCATGAAGAGAAGTGCAACATATCAGGTTGTCCTGTGTTTATATTTGTGGGATAGGAATAGAGGCTGCCTCATGCTCTTTTAGACTCAGCATGCTAGCAGAAACAAACAGATGCTATTTCAGTATTTTATGTAACTCAAAATTAAAGAAACACACTTTTAAAAAAATATAGTATTAGCCATAAAGGAAACTGGAGCTTAAAGTAAGAGTCTAGTGCTCACCAGTATACCCTTAGATTTACATAAGTGAATAAAATAATAATACTTGAGCAAACAAAAAGTTTTTCCATTATTTATTTTAATTTTACAATACTGAAATTGTCACTGATAACAAATAGTTTGGATGGTTTTAGTTCAGCTCACAAGCATTAATTATGTGTGAACTTTTCTCCAGCTCTGAGGATGGATTAGTGCATCTTCTATCTAATAATGAATTCTGCTCAGTGTAGTTCAGTGTCAAGAACAGACTAACTGAGAATCAAAACGTATCAATTTTATTTCGCACATAGTTCATCATATATTCCATTCCTTTTGCTGATCCCCAGATTTCCTTCAGGACTTCACACTCTCTCTCATTGGCCTGTTTCAACTCTATCTTCATGTTATGGTGCACAAGAGCTTTGGAATTCTCCAGAACAAATGAATTGCATGAAGCAATCTCCTGAATTCGAACCATAACTTCTTGTGTGAAAGTTTCAGGCCAAAACACCTGAGAGACGAGGCCTTTGGCACATGCTTCTTGGGCATTCATCTTCCACCCATTGATCAACATTTCGTTGGCAGCTGCTCTACCCATTATTTTTGGAAAAGTAATTGTGGAACAGCCATCTGGACTCTGCCCAAACCTTGTGTAAGGGGTTTGAAACCAAGCCTTCTCATTAGCCCAAACCACATCACAGAGAGGCAGTATAGATGCACCTAGTCCAATGGCTGGGCCATTGACTGATACGATGATAGGTTTCTGAAACTCAATAAAAGAATTCACAAAGTTTTTGATGGTGTCCACTAGTTTAACACTAGCTCTTTTTCTATTATATTTTAAATGCTTCACAAAGTTATCGAAATCAAGACCACAGCAAAAGACACTGCCAACTGCACTGAGCAGCACAAACTTACTGTCATCAACAGCAGCTCTATCCAGAGCACTCTGAATTTCATTCATTACCTCTCTGTTCAAGGTGTTATTATGTGTTGATCTGGTTGATAGTAAGATCTGAGTGAAACCATCTTTCTTTCTCACCGCAATGTCTTTGTACGTGCGGGCACTTTCCATCAGCCTCATGCTGAAACGCACTCTCTTGTCAAAACGCTGGTCTCTTCCATCATCTACGACTTTTCTCTTTTTATCTCTCATGGTTGAACAGATATTGGTGTTTGTTTTTCGATTTGCTGTTAACAAATCTGTAAATGGTACTGCTCCACTGATCTACCAATCGCTGAGCACGAATAAGTCTCTCCCACTTTCTATGCCCTGCTGGGGTAGAAGTTGTATGAAGCAGCAGTTATAGTATGTGATTTGTCTTCCTGTGCTTACTCCCTGGTAGGACACTTCGGGCATTGACCCAGGATGCCTCTATGCAGGGTTAGGTAACCTCAAGAGAAAGCAGCTGAGTCCACGGCTCCCGCTCTCTTGTTTAATGTAGAAAGCTTTCTAGGGAACCGTAACTATTTCCTTTGCGGTTGCTATGACAACTAAATTTAACATTCTAAAGTCATAAAACTTAAAGTCACACTAGTGTTTCTTCAGTAACACACTAGAATTACAATTTTTATACTTCAATGCCCATCATTTCACTTATTGAGTTCTCAGATTTACTTTTGCATGCATTTTGTGTCAAAAATGAAAAAAAGCAATAGTTTAAAGTACATCTGTCTTTTTTAATCGTGTAAAAAATCGTGTAGTTGTGCATGGATAAAACATTTTATTGCTTCTATAATTGCCCACGTGTGCATCTTAACCTTCACCTTTATTTCTTTATACAACTGTCTAGTGTTCTTTTACTTCATCCTTATGTAATTCATGAAGGATTTTTCTAAATTCCGTCTAGTTCAACAAACTTTCGCAGCACTGATCTGGGAATGTCATAATTGATGGAGAGTTGTTTTTGGCATAAGATTTCTGTTTGTAAGGTTTTTTGTGTCAACACTCAGAATATACTGGCCCAATGCAGTTTTGCTTTTCATTACAGCACCTGGTATAGATACGCTAAATGCTCTTTGGGCTCTCATATTTCCAATAAAGAATCTTTGGGTTATCTATGAGAGTGCCTTTTATTGATGAGGGTCATTTTTTTTCTGTAACAGTTTTCTTCGAGTCATACAAGAAGGAATCATAGTAAAGTTCAATGTGTTAGACACCAACTTACTTTAATTATTGTTAAGTTAACTAACTAAAGGAGTTTTCCACTTAAAACAAGTGTGTTCAATTCATTCTTGCCAGGACTTTATATATGTAAAACATTAGAATTTTCTAAGTTTTAATTGGATATAAGACAACTGCAGTTCAATGGATGATTCTGACTCATAAAACTATGCTATAATATAAATATCTGTTTCTCTCTTTAGGAAATAGTGATGATAGGTTTGCCTGTATTCAGAGTTTCGTTTTGCAAAGGAGTCAATGAGATGATGTATTTAAAATCACTGTGAGCACTATAAATCCCTATCTGGCTTATGTAAAATTACAGACAACCTAAACATCAATCACCATCTTAGGGGTGAATTACAAAAATTGGAGCACATTGAACTCTAAGTTATATAGCTAAAAGATAGGCAAGAAACAGACATTCTTATACTGATTGGTGTGTTACTATGTATAAAACTAAGTTTAAAATATTCTGTTGTATATTTACATTTTATACAAAGTGAATTATAAATAAACAGCTATATGTATATAAATGTGCATACAAGGAGATAGTCTCTGTACCAGAAATATTAAATTGTTAGAAAGATAAAAATTTTTAGTATATTTTATTTTGAAAATACAAATTCACCATGCATAAACATAAACAAATAAATTGACAACATGTCTTCTTAAAGAATAAACTTCTAAAAATGTTTCCTTACAATTTTCATGTATTAGCTAAAAAAATCAAATGTAGCAAGAAAAAGAAATCTTTAAACAGGAAAAAAGCCCTCTCCTCTCTCTCCACAGATTCCACAGGACAATTGAAGTTCTGATATTTTAAGCACTGAGTTTACCTAGAATCTCTTACAATGTGATTCAGAATATCCTCAAACTGAAAAAACATATAAAACTACTTGATGAAAAAATATAAATCACAGTCAGTATTTTGTAAATGACAAAATAAAATGTTAAGGTATTGTTAATGAACAAAAATACCCTTATACAATAAATAATCACCATTTATTGCTTCGTTGAAACAATTTAGTATCAGTTTGAAATTTCTTACGTAAGCTAAATAGCTCGTGCTACAATTAGTTCAAAACCAGCATAAATAGTAGCAGGTAAACTGTAGCTTGAAAAAGCCTGCCAACCTGATAGTTCTTTGCTTCCTTTATATTGCTTGAAATTGTGTATGCAGAACAGATGAAATAATTAATTGATTCCTACTAAGTTGAAAGAACACATAACATATTACTACAAACTATAGTGTGGAAAAAACATGTTATTTCAGAGAAAATACTTCTAAGTTTGTTGAAAATAATTTAACATATTACTATATCTTGTAATAATTTCACTTTATTTTTGAAAAAATTATTCTGACAAAAATACTATATACAATTTAATAAGCGTGGTCTCTTTCCTAGAGAAGATGTTATACAGTAATTTTTAAAAGGTAAGAATTTTACATTTTATGTAAATGTACTTTTTAAATTTACTTTTAAAATCACATATAAAAATAAATTTATTTACATAGAGTGCGTTAAAATTATATTATTTTTATAATATTAAAAGACAAAAACATCACGAAATATATATGTATATATATCATATATATGTGTATATATATTATATATGTGTGTATATATCATATATATGTGTATATATATTATATATGTGTGTATATATATCATATATATGTGTATATATGATATTTATACATTATATATAATATATGTGTATATGTATATATATGTGTATATATATTATATGTGTATATATATATCATATACATGTGTATATATATGATATATATATATAAAATAAAGCTGGGCAAGATAGATTTCTTTAATGGAATTGTATTTAAAAATCATGTGCAGTGTTTTTTTCCTATAATTTCAAAACTTTGGAAGGCCTGAGTAGGTCTTCTTTGAGGTGGTTTTTTTATTTCAGGTCAAGATTTTAAAACAAGCCTGGCCCACAGAATAAAACCAAACTCTACTAAAAATACCAAAACTTGGTCAGGCATGGTAGCACATGAATGTATTTGCATCTAATTGAAAGGCTGAGAAATGAAAATCACTTGAACCTGGAAGGCAGTAGGTTGCAGTAAGGCAAGATAATGTCACTGCACTCCAGGGTGAGCACCAAAGTGAGATTTCGTCTTAGAATATAATAAGTAGGATAAAGTAAGATAAAATAAAATAAGATACAATAAAACTCAATTAAGGAAACTGAATTTATATGAGAAAAATTATACTGCTCATTGCTTTTTATAGCTTTTTTTTTAATCACTTCTGATTTGTAATTCCTATATCTCTTAAATAAAGTGAGGCACACCGTTTACATTTGCTGTAAACTTTTCAGAATTGGAAGTCTTTTAAAAAATAAAGGAGGCCAGGAATAAAGAAAGAACATCAAGTTATGACTCAAAGACATAATACTTACAGAGCTCAACTACATAGATTTGCTGACAAATATTTCTAAGGTCATGATACATAGTTCAGTACAAAACTTCAGAACTTAATGTAAATACATTAAACATATCACAACAGTGATACATTTTCTCCTGAGTTTGAAACTTAGTGTCTTTATTGTTAACCCAAGAGGGACTTCGAAAGCTCAGTTCTTCAATGCCCATTTCACATGTGTTTTCAACACTATCCGGCAAAAGAAGATATATTATAGGCCCAACTTAAAATAAGAATAGAGAAAAAGATGGGGAGTAAAAACAACAGAAAATCTGCGGGATCTCCTGCACAATTTCTCAAACATTTCAAGTTGATTTTGTTTTTTCTTTAGAAATCTTTAGAATATACAATATCAGCAATTTTGCTCTAAGAATACACAAACAAATTTGATTTTCACATTTGTGGGAAAAATAGATTGCTGTGACAGTGTGCAGAAGGGGCCAGAAATGCTGGTCAACATCCTACAATGCACAGCAAATGCTCACAATAAAAAATTATCTAAAAACAAAGTTACAAAAGGCAGGATTTAAAAATATTGTTCAATAGCTAAGATTTATTATCTACTGGCATAAAAATACTCATCTGAATCACAAACAATTCAGAAATATATTATTATACAACTCTGTATAAGAAAAAATAAAACACTAACTTGGTTCCTCTTTTCTAAACCTAATAAACCATACCATCCAAGTATTACTATGGGTGTAGCTTTACGTTTAGTACAATCTTCATACAAGATGTTCACCAACACTTGGTTAACAGCCACTGTTCCAAGAATAATTGGATTAGAAGTTCTGATATTACAGTCTATCTTACCCCTAGGATGTTGAATTTAACCCATATGGAGGTGGCTAATCATACTGGCAGGAAGTAAAAGAGACAGACAGAACGTAAAATTTTAAATTGGTTATCCCACATTTGTGGTTGGTTGCTTGGGTTTTATTTTGTTGAATCTCTGCAGTGTGGCATGCATATCTGCCTGGTTATATTTTCTGTGCAATAAACTTCTCCAGGACAGAAACTAGGCATTGTGTATTTCTGCATCACACACCAAAGACAGAGGAAACCACACAGAAATCTTAGATATTTGTAAAACAATGGTATTTTGCTTTGCTCTGTGGCTACAATATTAGGACTTTTGAAGCTTTTGTTTATGCTCCCCCTCCTTTCTTTCACTAGCTACTGTGAATTGTTGTATTTGTTAAGGCTTAATAATTCTTATTCCATTATGTAAATTATCTCATGTAATTTGCAAAACTGTATTATTCTCAGAAAAGTTACTGAATCATAGAAAGGCTGAGTAACCTATTCCTCTGAAGAGACTTACATTGCAAAAAACTCATTTATCTCCTGTCTACTTGACCTAATTTTACAATATTATGTAAGTGTGTCTTATTATTTTGTTACTCTTTTAAATAACTTCTCTGTGAAGGCATAATAGCCCATGTTTGAAATAAGCAATAATAGTAAAAGTGAGAAGTAAAATGCTTTGAAATGAAGAAATATAAAATAATGCACACTTTTCTTCAGTTACATTTAGTATTTGCTTTAATTTCTTTCATTATATTTTTAAAGTTAAAGTAGTAAATCACTGACCCATTTTGGGTTTTAGTCTTGTTGTTCCCCTGAAGAGTTTATTTGAATATTTGTATTAACGAAGACAAACCAGAATTAAATAAGACACGAGACAGAAAAGATTACGCCATTAGAGTCTTAAGACACCTTAAAGTCATCTCTGTTCACTTGCTGTTTTTCAAACTACAATACAATATACCCAGAGAATTTTGGTAACAGTGAAGGTAAAATTTAGGTGGGTGATATTTCAG